CGTTGCTGTTGCTGGTGCTGTCGCTGCTGCTCTTGCTGTTGCTGCTGTTGTTGTTGTTGTTGTCGTTGTTGTCGTTGTTGTCGTTGTTGTCGTTGTTGTCGTTGTTGTTGTCGTTGTCGTTGTCGTTGTTGTTGTTGTTGTCGTTGGTGGTGTTGGTGTTGGTGTTGGTGTTGGTGTTGTTGGTCTTGTTGGTCTTGTTGGTGCTGTTGGTTTTGTGTTGGTGTTGTTGGTGTTGCTGTTGCTGTTGCTGTTGTTGTTGTTGTTGTCGTTGGTGGTGTTGTTGTTGGTGTTGTTAGTCTTGTTGGTCTTGTTGGTCTTGTTGGTGTTGTTGGTGTTGTTGGTGGTGGTGCTGGTGCTGGTGCAGGTGCAGGTGCAGGTGCAGGTGCAGGTGCAGGTGCTGGTGCTGGTGCTGGTGCTGGTGCTGGTGCTGGTGCTGGCGGTGCTGCTGGTGGTGGTGCTGCTGGTGATGGTGCTGGTGGTGGTGGTGGTGGTGGTTTTGGTGGTGGTGGTGGTGGTGGTGGTCGTGGTCGTGGTGGTGATGGTGATGGTGACGGTGATGGTGATGGTGACAGCAATGGTGATGGTGATGGATACGGTGACGGTAATGGTGACGGTGATGGCGATGATGATGATGATGGTGGTGATGATGATGCTATTGCTGATGCTGATGCTGATGCTGATGCTGATGCTGATGCTGATGCTGATGATGATGATGATGATGCTGACGATGGCTCAACCCATCTTCAGGCAAGCGCACAAGCTGAGACGTCTGCACTTGGGTGTTGTTCTAAATTCAGGCTCCTTTAGTGCTTCCGATTATCACATACTGTCTGGTGTTCCTTACGCTTGAAGCGAGCCCTCGATATAGAGCAACCCCGGTCAGCAAAGACTTGAGGCTTTCAGCGCTGTGCCACTTCGGGCCACAGCGCGCGCAGGGCAACGACACTTCGTCGATGCTGCACCAAAACCGTGGGCTGAAGGCCTTCTGCCTTCCTCCATTGTGCGTGCAAGGCGGCTACTACTGAAGAAAGGCCGCATTAAAATCAGGGCTTCAGCATGCCCTCAGAAAGATCCATGGCTTCAAGGTCGCCATTGTAGCTCGTTGATACTGACGACTTTGATGCTGACGACTTCGCGATGTCAACCTTGAGCTCGCCCGCCTGCTCTTCGGATGTCTCCAAGTCCGGGACTGGAGCATAGCCATCTGAAGGCAGCTCGCCGACCACTTGGATTCCAGACTGGCGTGCCCAGCTATCGATGCGAATATCCAGCAAGTACGTACTAAAGAGCGCCAGTGCAACGGCGGACAGGAGGTGCCAGCAGTCATGCAAGTCGAATATGCTGAACAGACAGTCCTGAGCTGGCTTACTCTACGCTTCGCCGACCTGTGCCCCTGCCACCCTGTGACCCTGCCATGACTATCTCGACTCACAAGCTTCTGCATCAATAGGTTGTCTGGCTACAGTCGAGGCCTCCAGCAAGCGAGCAGCCAGAGACGGCGTTTCAGACCTACTTGGAGGTTCATGGGTAGTTATAAGTGGGGTTATACGTAGGGTAACTATGGTTATAAGCCATATTAGAGGACTTATAAGCCTACTTATAACTACCCATGAACCTCCAAGTACTACTCAGGAAAAATGCTGTCCAGCATCGCATGCATCACTGCAAGACATGATGGCCCTTACATAAGGCAGCTGGCCAAGTCACTAAGCTAGGCGGGACTATACAATTACCAGTTGCAGAAGACATGCCAATGGTCTTACGAGCTCTTGCATGGAAAAACGCTATGAAGCTTGAGCTGGCAGGGCCCCAAAACTTCCAAAGCCTTACCCCGAATTTTGACCATCCGAGAGACTTGATTTGCATCATGGCTTTCAGCTGGGGTTGCTTCCGGCGTGACAATAACGACCTTCTCGCTGAAGCACTGGAGGGATGCCACACCAACACCGACCATCACAGCGAGATAGCCTTAGCTTTGACACCGGCAAGACCCTAGTCCATGAACATACCTGACGAAAAACATGCAAGACACCTAGAACCACGTCCAGAAGCCGTGCTTGAGGATGCGACCACCAATCTCTGTGATGCCGCAGGAAACGAACCTCAGGTCCTGCATATAAATTTGCCGGCTCACCACAACAGCCATCACTGCGATGGAGAGGAGCAGAAAGGTGTTTGCCGTTCCCCCCAGACTTTCTCGTGCACCTGGGTCTACATAGACCAGCAGCACCACTAGAATGATCAGGCCTTGCAAAAGCCTCATCGTCCACATGCTGCAGGCTCCCATCTCAGTTCCAAACAAACGCCTCAGGCTGCTGACAGCGCCGACAGTCCACATCACCACCAAGACAGTATATGTCCAGTAAAGCCAGGTGGAGGTAAAGATTTTGAGGTCATACCACGTGCCAATGAAGTTGATCAACCACATTGGTGTCAAAATGTAGACAAAGTATTTGAGGGCCGCTCTCGTGTCAAAATCTGGTTTGCTGCAATCAGCTAGGGCGATGGTGAGCAAGTGCGCAATAGAAATCATGAAGCATGTGTCGAACTGAAATGTTTCCACAGATGGACAAAGATGGTAGCAAGTGCTTCCAACACCTTCCGCAATAAAAGTTGTTGCGATCGCATAGAAGGCCCGAACATCAATTGCTCGAGATGCTAGCTGAAATTTGTCCTGTGTCAGAACTCCATCACCATTGGCATTCAGCCTTTCGAACGCAGCCAGCCACTCCTCACGAGAGAGACTGCCAGCATCGGTTTCATCGATGAAGTCAAACACAATCGTATCCCCGTGCCGCACCCTCCATTCTTGCCTGGACACGATCCCGTTTCTGTTGATATCAGCATCATCGAAGATTGCAGCCCATTCTTGCCTGTTTAGGCAGCCACGAGGGTTTAGATTTACACTCCTGAACAGTGCCTGGAGGGTATTGCGCAGGAAGTGCCGGCACCGGCTCTCTGCGAAGAAAGTCTGCAGCATGGTATGCACACCAGCCACGATATAAGCAAGATTGGACAGGACATGGTTCCAAGGGATGTCCCACACAACTCCCGGATGGTAGCATCTCTCGTTGTAAAAGCAGACATCTCTGTTCCCCGTCCGCACCATCAAGCCATAATGCGTCAGGACAAACTGGGCAGCTGTTGCCAAGAATACACCAACCATAAGAGCGAGCAACGCAGGGAAAAAGGCCACGGGCTCGGAGATGCGTTTCAGCTTCTCCCTGACCATTGCCAAATGCCCACGATTCGGCATCGACACAAAAACCGGCCACAAACGATAACGAGATTGAGATGGAGCTTCAGGGCCCACCGTGTACAGGCATGTGTATGTCAGCCAATGCATCCCATTGACACAAAAGAGAAACAGAGCAGGTCCCAAGATCATGATTGCAGCCCCGGTCCAGAGCTTTCTTAGTTGGCCGTGCCCGGCACTTAGCTCGATCTCCAGATGCGCTTCTGGGCAGCTGGGGCCCGAGGTAGTTCTCAAGTATCTCAAGTTGCACACCACGAACAGCAGCCACCTGCCTGACTGAATCTGTGGGAGGGAGCCTCTGCTGACTGTCATCATCGCGGACTTGCTGAAGCTCTCACTCAAGGCAATCGCCGCATTTCCCTCTGCACGGAACGATACAGGCACGGACCGGAAACACGACCAGACCTGGACAGGATCCAGGCACCCCCCGGCGTTCATCACTTCGGCTATGCAGGGCGACGACTCATGCATGATGTAGGCATGGTAACCTACGTGTGCTCTCTGGAACTTCTCGGGCACCTTGAAGCGCAAGCGCCACAGGTCCAGCCCCTCATCCTCTGGCATTGTCCACAAATGGAAAGCAGCACGGCCGTTCTTGCCACCAATGTCGAGGGAGAAGCTGCTGAGCCGGTCGTCCAAAGTTTGCTGAGTTTCAACATGTACCTGAAGTTGCGCACTGGAACTGGCTTGAACTCCAACTGAAAGAAGCCCGCTCCTTTCGGGCTGGCTGCCCCGTATGCAGAAGAACCTGCTGGTCTGTGTCGTCGCGAAGCACGACCGCTCTTCCCTGGCAAAATTCTGCTCGCTGATCGGGACGGCATCTTTCACATAGTGCAGTCCTGCATCCACATCTGGAACCCCCTCACATTTCCTGCGACTTTCGGAGTTGGGCACGATCGTGGTGATGTTCGTGAAGAGTCTGAAGTGCCTCACCCAGGTGGCGTTCGAGAGCCGCATCCTGAACTTCTCCGTCTCTGCAGCCGACACTTGCCCTGTGCAGTTGAAGGCATCACCTTCTCTTTCCTGATAGGCGGAGCAGACGGGCGCCGAATGCAAAGAGACTGTATTCGTAAGAAATGCAAGAGCTAGCAAGCTCGAGGCCATGGCGCAAGAGGGCTTCGTGAGCAAGACTCACAGCCTCGACTGTACAAAGGATGATGACAAGTTTGAATGTAATTGTGCAGCGTTTCTCTCAGACTTTCATATGTGAATGCTGCTTAATGCTGGCTTCCCACGGCTAGCATGATATCTTGGCAGGTGCGATTGGTGCATTCCAGATGTCTCAAAAGACTTGAGCCAAACGGCTCCCAAAGGTTTGATGCCTTCGCCTTGGGCTTGATGTAGTCTCAATACTGAGAATTGTGAGAATAATAATCAGCAGCAGCAGCAGCAGCTCTCTAGTAATGACGCTCGTACGTTAATCCTTGATTGCACGTCTGGGCAAGTTTGCAGCAGCCTGCTTCCTGCTGCTGCGGTATACCTCGGAAACAGCGGCGATACAGCTGCCTGTTCTTTGTTTCTTCAGAGTTTTAGCTGGACTATCTGGACTATCTCAATGCTCTCGAGCGGCACACTGCCAGAATATGAAGTTCCGAGGACACTGGGGTTCCCCTCCATGTAGTCCTGCAGCGAACATCACCCTGGCGACAGCGACGCACTGCAGGACCAGGGGCTGCGGCCATGAGAAGGCCCACAATGGGCTCGTCAAGGTCGCGGTGCAGCGGAAAGGCTGCACCTGAGAAGATCAAGAGGAACGAGGCAAACATGCAGACAGAAGGGAAGCTCTTTCTCCCCCGGCGTCCAGTGACTGCAGAGCTTGCATGGAGACGCCACCGCCAGCTGCCATCCTCGCAGGTGGCTGGATGCGCCAGCCACAACCCTCTTTCCCCGGGCCTCGAAAAGTCCAGCGTGCTCGGGCGGTCCACCAAGCAGAGTTTGGACCTCACTGGCCGCAGCTTGAGGAAGCGAGTAGGTTTAGGCTTTAGGGTTTTGGGATTTAGGGTTTAGGGATCTTAAAATAAGCCCAGCCACTAGCACGACCTGATACCACAGGCCTCGATCGCGGTCGAGCGTTCCTGTGCCAGCGACTGGGTTCCTGTGCCAGCTCCCAGCACTCAATCGCAGGCCTTGGCCAACGGCATTCACGGCATCAAAGACCTCGTAGAAGCTGAAGGTTTCCACCTTCAGCAAACCAATGGGAAATAGGTTCTGGGGTAACGAAAATAATAGTATTCATAATAACAATAGTAATAATGATACTAATAATAATAATGGGGATAATAATAATCATAGTAATAACAATACTAAAATAAGCATAGTAACAATAGCAATCATCATCATCATCATCATAGTAAAAAATAACAACAATAATGATGATAATAAAAATAATAATCACGATAATAACAATAACAATAATGGTAACCAAGGCTCCAAACACGAGTTCCACATGTCAGTAACCCGTTGGTGGCTCAGCAGCCACCCGTCAAGTGCAACTCCAGCTCCTCACTTCAGCCTCGAATATACTCCATAACCTATATAGTCATAGGCCTGCCCCTGGGGGTTCTCCGGGGACAACTTGGTGTCCAAGACTGGGTGAAGCTGGGGGGTGGGGGTGATGATGACATGGTGATCGCGACATTGCGATGGCGACATGATGCTCACGACAGATGGATGATGTTCATGATGATGTTCACAATGATGTTCATGATGATGTTCACGATGATGTTCACGACGATGTTCAAAATGATGTTCACGATGATGTTGATGATGATCTTGATGATGATCT